CCTTCAGGCAGAACCTTCAGTATGACTGTAACTCAATCTAAGTGGTGACGTGCCAGGATCTAAGGGTCAATCATTACCAATCACAGTGTGGGGTTTTTGGGGGGTTTGGAGGAGAGCCAATTCCACAAATTATGGGAATGTCAATAAGATTTTTCAAGAAAAAAAATCCAATTCAGTGTTCCTGTCAAGAAAACCAAGTGTTTGCTAAAAGGGGAACAAGAGACATGCTTTGTGCCCTGCTTCAGTCAAACTCATCACTCTGCTTTACATTTCAAGCAAACTAATCAACAGCCCTTTGAACAAAAGGGGACCATGTCAATCCCGCTCCCCAACAGGCAGCACAAGCTACAGCGGAGACGGCACTTATTTTCAATTTGCAGCCAGATAAGCAGGCATGTTTTTGATACCGTCAGAACCAGAGAGATTTTTCTATTCCAAGTCGTCTTGAGTGAGTGGCCTTTTTAGTGCCTGCTTCAAAAAGCATCCCCCGTACCCAAGCAGCTGTCACTTTCAGCAGGCACTGCGGAGGACGGACACGGGGGAGGGGTCCTTTGAAGGAATGCTTAAAAGTGGGCGATAAAAATAAACCGAGAGAGAGGAGAAAATTAATTATACATAACAGACAGTTCACTTGGATGAGCACGACAGAAACAGAGAAACTAAGGCTGCTTCCCTCAAAGAAAAAAAATGCCATTTTCTGGCAGAGGAATTTTCTGTTGGTCGTATTTATTTGGCAACAACTGAAGTGAGGGATGCAACAAGGAATCTTTTTTTAAAAGGTCAATGTGTCAAACAACACAGACCAAGCCTGCATTTCAAATTCTCTTTGTTGGCACTCACACCATGCACCCTCTCTAATTCAGGCACTTTCTGGAGACTAAAATAAAAATGGCCAACCCACAGTGCACCCTCCTTAAAAATGTGATGAAGCTTGCAGATAGCTCAGTCTACCTTCAAATTCCCTTCTGATTGGCACTGATGAAGGTTTCTGCTGCCGGCTCACCTGCAAACTCACCCCTTGATATGATTCGTAATGCACCAGCACTTTGCAGTTCAACACCACCCACTGACTCTCAATCCCAGCTTCTTATTTGGGCCAAATGGAGGTCATTCCTATTTGAGCAGTCAGTCAAGACAGGCCCGCCAGGTATTGGCGAGTGAGTTTATTTCATATTAAGGCTTGTCTGCTGGAGAGGTGTTAGCACCATGAGAACTGTGTATGTGTGTGTGTGTGTTTGTCTGAGGATGTGTGTATGTGACAGGGCCTTTGGGTTCAGCCCTGCTGCTGGTCCCTCTTTAGTGCGTTTTAATATTGCTGCTGCTGCTGCTGCTGTGTGCCTCCTGCCTCAGGGCGCAGCACTCACCTCAGAGACCAAGTAAAACACTTGAATAGGGGATAAAGAGAGAGGACTGGAGGAGGTTAAGAAAGAGATAGAAGAATGACAATGTAGAGAGGTAAGAATGGATATAAAAAAAACAAAATAAACGAAACAAACAGTAGAAAAGCAAAGGACAGACAAGTGTAGTGAAGAAAACTCAATCTGAGCTGAGCAACAGCAACTTTGTTAACCTCTGACTTACACAGTCTTACACAGTCTTACACAGCAAGACTGACACAAATGAAAACTTATGTAATAAAAACACACCATCTCTACCGCCTGTGATATGAAAGCAGATATTGCATTACAGCGCTGCTGTGCCAAGAAGAAAGCCCTCAATCACACAAGAGTTCAGCCTGGGACACTCTCTGACATAACCCTTGTATCCGTTTGAGGGGGGGTCCTCTATCGATTGTTGTAAAGCATGCTTCTTCATGTTATCGAGACTGGTCATATCCCACCAGAAATGTACAGGAGAACTGATTGAAAAATAGAAACGGGAGAAGGAGTGTGGAATGTCTGCGGAGTAAAGGACAAAAGATGGAGTGGGAAGAAAGAAGACAACCGGCATGCAGGGAGACAGAGAGAAAAGATGGTAGGAGAGAGGAAGGGTGAGAATCATTGGGAGGAACAGAAAACTGAAAAGGGTGGAGGGAGATCTGGTGTTGAAGGATGGAGGCAGACGTAGACAACGATTGGTTCCCAACAGGAAGAGCCAACGAAACGGAAGGAGGAAAACTGGGAGAGAAAGCCTGAGTGGCAGCATAAATCTGGAGTAGAGTGGTCGGCAGATAGAAGAGAAAAGGCTGAGGTTGTCACACTGGTTTAAAATATCCACCAGTAAGGGAAACTGGAAAAGGAGCAAAAAAAATGTTTTCAGTCTGGCAATGCAGAGACACACTGCTCACTGTGAGTGTGAACGCAGCCCATATATCGACTCACTGCATGAAAGCAATGAATCACAGTACAGTACACCCTAAAGGATACAGCTATACACTGAAAATCCTTTCACATATAAAAACTATTTCAGTGACCCAATGAAGTTGTTTTTTACTCCAGCTGAGAGAGTCCCAAGAGATCTGCATGATGGAATTCAATTTAAATCCTCTATTTTAATTCCTCTTTGAAAATCCATCAACACATGCAGTAAATTAAAATATTTAGGGCTTGTCTTAAAAGTGCCAACTTGGGATTCAGTCCTCACTTCAGCACCAGCCCTCCTGCTTTGTCATCCATCTACAATCTAATTAGACTTTAAATATGCTGCTCAATGAAAAGTCCAGAGGAATGCGACAGGGGGGTGCGCCACACAAAGGCAGGAGCAGAGGGGGTGCAAAGTGCACATGTCAGCTCGAATTCCAAAGTTTGGACATCACAGATTTTACCCTTCACGGCAGCAGCCAGACCGGACAGGGCAGACTTTCAAAAATTCATGACACTGCTGGGCTATTGTGGGGCAGATCTGTATCATAATTAGGGAAGATTGAGGCAAATTGTGTGTAATTTTCTGGCTGGGTTGCCAGCTTTCATGTGAATTGCCATGCAAGGTTACCAGAAAAGATTTTCTGAAGAGTTCAGCTGTATAAAGGTGGGAACTTTTTTGAAATTCTTGAAGGGATATTCATCTAAGTGTGATTGTTTCCTGCAGAAACTGCACCCTTAATTCATTGCGATTGGGGTCAGGTAATAAGTGGTTGTTTGTATCTATTATCCATATTTGTCCCTAGAAAATGTCTATACTCTTATTCTTTAGACTAGACTTTACTCTAAATAAATAAATGGGTTGGGTCATCTCTAAATTTGTAACATGACTGCCCCTCCTTGCTGTCAGTCACACACTCATGTAGAGCATGCTTGTTTTGACTGAACAAGTTAGGTACACTCTTGCACTGTTGGGCGAGGTGTCACTCAGTCTGTGGCTGAATGATTTAGAGCTGTGACTGGCCACCACCTCTTAAACAAGCACTCATGTCACGGTTTAAATCCTGCATCATTTGCATGTGAATGCTCGTCCACGCATTGAACTGTCATTAAAAGGAGCTGCTGCTTGACCGAACTGAGGCAAAACTGGGTCACATCACATTTTATAAAGAGTTATGATGTTAGTCACACAAACGCCAGTGTCTTCTAGGGGTTGCCAGAGGAGATAAGACACAAGTATCACCTGATTAAATGTCACTGTATTATTGAAATGCGCAGTTAATGTCTGTTTAAATAGTAGCGGAGTATTGCAGTAATGTCTTTGCAGATTGCCCCACTGCCCCTCCTTTCTCTCCCAAAATGAACAAGGGTTCATGTCTAGTCTCTTGCTCCTCTAATATGATTCATAAATACATATTTGAATTGGGCTCCAAATGAATTCATGTATAATGTGCGGGGGTGTGGGTGGGTAGTCTAATTTTGGTTGACTAGGATTTGATTTGAAAATACAGTTGAGGAGAATCCGATAGAGCAATGAGAGCATTTCCAATAGCTGACAAGATAGGCACTCCACACACCCACAGACAGCTCTCACCACTCCAGCCCTGCTCAAAGGGGGAATTCAATTGCTGTCGAATAACAAAGCCACACAAATTGCCTCCCATTCGTTAGCAGATTAACGCTATTTTCACAACACACCAACACAATTTCTAATTATTTCAAAGCTAATAGGTGAATCGATTTTTTTTTTTTTTTAAACAAGCAAACAACCACGTCCGCCTCCCCAAGAGAAATCCAGCACAACTCCTCCCTCAGGTCCATTTAGGCTACAACAGAAAAGCCAGGGCAGGATACCTTCAAATCAAAATGAACAAGCAGCAAAACAAGCACGAAAGCAAATGTTTCATGTAAAAGCTATAGGCAGCTTTCAAGGACTATTTATCCAGGCGACAGTGAGTGTGAGCTCGGTGAATACCTGTGATTATGTATTATGGTGGTTGTGGTGGCATTCCTGCTCTGAGGCAAAGCAACAGTAACACACACCCACAGCACAGGCAGCTGTTACAGGAGGTTTATTTGACTTTATAATAAGCTAACAAAAGTCTTTCCACATCTGAAAAGTACATGTTTTGAGTCTATCCGACGTTCACAAACTCACCTCATACTGCACCAAATCTGACGTTAGGCTACTTGCGAACACACACCTTACCTTTTCACTAATTTGAAGTTCCAGGTGTTTAACGTGAAACCATTTTTAAGACCTGCCCCAGTTTACAAAGTTAAAGCCTGATTCGGTGCCATTTAATATCCATAGTTTTTCAGTTTCGTTGCGGATTAATCGGACTGGTGGCGGTCACACCGGGGCGCATGTTCAACACACCGCTAACACAAGCTGCACACACCTCAATGAAAACTGGATAATGTCGCTTCTCTACTCGTCTTCGTGCTTCTTAAATTGCCGGGTTTAGGTCGGAGCCTCCAGCTCTTCAAAACTCGCGGAGGAAAAAAAAAACATGCACGGACAGCGGAGACAACATGAGGAGAAGCGGGAGGAAAACACAACGACAAACTCACCACACGGAGCACTGGAGGGAGAAAAAAAAATGTAACCTAAAAATATTTAAGCCGGCTCCACCATTAACCCCGCTGCTTCCGAGGGAGAAAAAAAAAGCCTCTCGTCGGAGTTTTCACGGTACTTACAGGTTCAGGTGATCCTCATGCTCGATATCCTCGCCATGGTTTTAAATTCCAAAACTTAGGGACATTCCTCTCTGGTCACGGAGCGGCGGTGCTCTCTCTCCGGCGGCTCCCTGCGTGTGAATGGAGAGGGAAGGAGAGGAATGCAACTCCGGCTCCAGGAGAGGGGGAGAGAGAGGGAGGAGGCGCTCTACTGCTGCAGTACCTCGCCGAGCCCATAGAGTGCGCCCCCGTGCCAACTCATGGTGGGACAAAGACACTTGTGAGAGCTTTGGGAATAATCACCATTGCCACATTTTTTTTTTTTTTTTTTTTACAAAAGATGTACTTTATTTTATGTTTTGTTTAGTCATAATAACAGTTGTAAAAAGTATTCACATTCCTAAGTAAAATCTTATATAAGTGTTATGTATTCAGGCTACTGAACAGCAATGGTTTTATTTGTAATGAATTAAGGCAATGAAATGTCACCCAAAGTCAAGTAATAGTTTTATTGTGTTTGTTGTTTTTTAGGCCTATATCATTGCATACCAAAGCAATATTTACTTCATTTTAGTTTTAAACATTAAACACCTGAAACAGTTTCAGTCTCACATCGACTGTAAAATATTACCAAAAGTGGTCATTTCATTTTACACACATCTGTCACCATCATTTCTGCACAGTATGAGTGTGGTGAGGTGAATACATTTGAGTATTAAGATAATTTTCTAATAGGGGCTTCTGTGGCTCAGTGAAAGTATTGGTCGTCTCCCGACCCAACCTGAAGGTTAAGGTTTCGGTCTCCAGCTAATGCAGTCACATGTTTTTTTGTATTTTGTTTTATTAAGGGACCATGTACAATATTAAACATTTTGTTTCCATTTGATGCCTTGTACCAGAGTTAGCTTAGAGCTGGGAAGTGTCCTTATACCCCAATAGTTCCTGCTGCTGTGTCATGGGAATGTCTGTGAATGGAATATTGAATCTGATGGTTAGTTTGGCACTATCCATAGCAGCCTCTGCCTCAATGTGTTGATGTGGTGTGAATGTGACATGTCGTGTAAAAGTGCACTATAAAACCGCTACACGAGTCCAAGTCCATTCATCATTTACCACCTTAAGTCAAATAATAAATTGTTCAAACTCAGTAATTAGTTCAAAAACAAGTAAGTCAATATTCTTTTAAATCACTATTTTAATCAAACTTTTTACAAGCGTAAAAAGAAATCAAATATTTTGGACAATTTAGCAAACTGATAGAGATTAAGGCCCTGACAACAGTTTAGCCTCTCTGTGGTGCAAAACATACGATACCGAATGGCTCCACCTTGAGCAGGGAACATCTCAGCTAAATTTACAGTGAACGGCGTTCAAAATAGAAAAGGCGCTGGGAGAGAATGTCGGAGACAGGATTGTCATGAGTTGCACAAAGTAAGGGCGGGCTCCTTAATTAAATGAGGAGGCCCCAGGCTGGCCTGTCTCGTCCCATCAGCTGACACATTCACACTGCCTAACTTACACTGAGTGACACTGGTGACAGATTTTGGAAAAAGCTTGGCCCTCAAGGCTCTTTAAACAACTTTTAATTATTCTTATTTACTTGATACATGCTACCTCAAGACAGTGAAAGTGACTTTGAAAGATGTATTTCAATTTGAATCACGCAGTCGGTATAATATCAAGAGAGGAGCTGAGAAAAAGTGTGTTTATGGCAGCGCTCCATTATGTCTCTGCAGCAAGGAAGCTTTTGGGATAACTGAGTTATTCAAACAGGCAGCTCAGGTTACCGATTGCACTCAGGAGAGCAGAGAGCTAGAGATCTGGCTCTAACCACACCACCTGTCCTCGTACTCTGTGTGTGTGTGAAAGAGAATGTGTGTGTGTTGTTTTGATACAGAGATAAATAAATTGTTTTGCATTTGCTTTGAATTAAAAATAAGCTAAATTTCAGTTCTAGCTAGAAGATTTCCCTCGAGTCTATCACACTACCAGCTTTGAACGGTTTTCAAAAGGCCACTGTTTGCCATTAGAAATGGTTGGTTTGGCCGTAGTAATACCAGGAGATTAGCCTCACTTACCATGTGAAAGGCCTCGGGACAAAGCCATTCCCTATCTCACTATTAAACACTAACACATTGATTAGCTCTCAGTTAATGCAGTTCACGTCCATCCTGTTCAAATTCAAGTCGACTGTAGGTTCTCATGGGAATATGTCATGGAGTATGAAACGTACCGGGCTGAGTACAAAGTTAGTCTTGTGGATCAAAAGAGACGATGTGCAAAATGTGCAGACTCTTTCTTTTGTTAAAACAAAGCTGTATAAAAATACGTTTGCAGCTGTGTATTATAATGCAGTCAGAATAAAGATACAGCACCTCAAAGATGCATAAATAAAACACTTATCCCTACTTTCCTGAACCTTAAAACAAAAAGCTGTTCTGCGTACAGTGCTCAGTGATATATTTCTTTAAAGAGTCAGATTAATCTCTGCTGTCATGATTTGACTAGACAGTGCACAGGCCGCGAAGCTTGGGCTGAAAGCACAGAGAATATTAAATAAATTTACACTCGGCTGTTTGGAGGTTTGCTGCTGTTTTGCTCTCTATTTGCTTTCTTTTCTTTTTTTTTACATTCATGCACTATTAATGGGCCAGTGTTTTGCAAGAAGAACAAACATTTTAAGTGAGCAGAGAGATACAGGAGCTGACTGATCAGAGAGAGAAGAGTCCCAGTCGTCCTTGAAAACACACACAAAGGATAAACTAATCCTGCATGTGTGAAAATACACATCTATACTGTGCAATTCACATACACAAAGATCATACGCAGATCCTGCAGCTCTTCTGATACACGCTGAAAAGCAACACAAACAAAATGCAGTAGACTACTTTATACAGAGTGTGTGTGTTTCCAGACATTTGTGATGAAAAAAAAGAAGCATAAAATCAGATAACATGGTTTTAAGAATATACAAATACCCTTTATAATTTTTAAAAACCTGTAACATGATCTGTGTTTATTCTCCACCAATGCCATGTCTTTTGCAGCCAATGAAACTCAATCCCTTTCACTTAAAAGCAAAACAAACAAAAAAACTCACCTGATCTGTGCCAATTACATTAAACTGATCAGATCCGAGCCAGCAGGTGGAGTGCTGGTTTGGTGGCCTTGTAATCTGAGGAGGCCAAGCACAAGCTAAACAGGTAATGAGCCATTAATTGGCTTACAACAAGATGACTGACTGTTAGGTAGCATGGTTACAGGATATCATCTGGCTAAACCTGTCTGATCTGTTTGTTCACTCACTCCAATCCAATTCAGCTCTCAGGATCCTCAGCCGTTATGGAGCCGCGCCATCTGTGCAAAACGCTGCCAGATCAGGAAGATAAAAACTTCCTGAAATACCTGTTTAAAGCTAAAACAACAATGTGTGCTCTGTGTGCCTCTGGCAAGCTTTAAGACAATGATAAGTTATTTGAACTATTTTGTTAAAATCTCTTCAGAATTAAAGTTTTTCTTGGTTTTAATGACAAGATTGAAGATTTTTTTTATTGTAAAAGTACTGACTCAAAATCTGGTTATGAGAAACACCATCCTCCATGATAAAGAAGTCCAACTTAAGGAAAGTCATACACTGTCTGTTCTTTGTTGTAAGTAATAACTTGGTATTGTAGATTCATGTTACAATGTTCAATGTTATTTAAAGGTATGATAATGCTTGTCTATCTGTGTTCTGGGCTTGCATCTTCTTAGCTGTGCAACCTAGTCATACATAATATGTGTTCATAATTTATTTAGAATAATCAATGGTTCACTTTGAATGGAATCATGACAATCAAATATTATTATTTCAGATATATATGCTATTAAATGTTTATTAAACTTCATCTAGTGTGCAAAATACACCATGTTTCTCTAACTCTAAAATGTGTCCCTGGTCTGTCTACAAACCCCCCAATTATGAGAAAGTCCATCCTATCCATCTTTTACCTGCTCCACTTTCCAGAAGATGTGCTCCAACAGGCTGTTTGCAAATGTTCCCTTCATGACATCACAAAGGGAAGTAACCCCTCCCCCAGTTGGGTGACACTCCCACAGCTAGGTGTTTATTCCTGCTCTCTCTGTCTGCCTTCTCACCATAAACAATTTGGCATGGAGCGAGAAAGCCCAAGCAACCCAAGCTCTTCTAGAGGGGCGTGGTCAGACACAGCTCACTTGCATTTAAAGCTACATACACAGAAACAGTCTGTTCTGAGCAGGGCTGAAGTAGAGGGGTTTAAAGGCATGTTGAATAAATAAATACAAAGACAAAATCTGAATGGAATTTGAGCAAATTTGAGCAAGAAACAGACATGTTTTGGGGACATCTGCGACTTATTTAAACTTGTTGAAAAGAAGTATAATATGTGACCTTTAAAGGATTCCAAGGTAATGGAAGTTTATTCATAGAGCACCATTCATATAGAGAAACTGTAAGTGCTTTACTTTACACAATCAAAAAAGAGAACATAAAGAACAACATTAATCAAAATTAAGACATTAAGATACAAAACGCATTATCATCTTTAAACCAGTAAATCTAAACAACACTCCTGCTTATGCGCAAGTCTTTTTTGTAGCTGACATGCAAAATATCAGAAACGCCGTCTCAAGTCAACAAGTCAGCAGCACTTGTTTGTGTGGGGCCTCAAACCCAGTAGGTGTTTTTTTCGAACAACCTTTCATCCAGCCTTTAACTTTTGATATTCAACAAGTACAGAGCCAATTGTGTGTTAAGAGATATGACATATCATATCAGTTTTGTGTTAATTTGTGTTAGCAGGGAACCCAAATTTTTTTTTTTAAAACATGTAATGTGTTTTTAAATTGTATTTGTATTGTAATGTATTTTGTATTGGAGTTGTAGTCAGAATGCTTTAAATATGTTTTTTTTTCTGAGTAAACAGCTTTTTTTGCGCATATAAAACTAAAGTGCTTGAGGAAAATTTGAAAGCTTTCCTGAGCTGCTGCTGCTGCTGCTACTGAGGGATAACTCTAGCTTCAGTTTTAGGAAAGCGCAGCAAACTAGACATCAATTTCTGAGCAATATGCTGCAGATAATTGATGTTAAATCTGACAAAACATTACATTTACACAAATCACAGAATCGCATGGGCTCATTAGGAACGGCACTGATTAAACATTAGACATCAAGGGAGGCATTAGAGGACAGAGCAACCTGGAGTTGGCGGAGGTGAAAGCGTTTATGCATTTCAACATCATGCATATGCTACATGTTTGAAATAATAATATCTTAAGTAAGGTAATAGGAGTTAAGAATAATTCCACTTAAATTATTCATTCAGAGTGCATTTCAGTCGTGGGAGACCTTAAGAGACTCTAGAGACTTGTTCTTTGAATCGCTGCAACCTTATACGCAGGCTCATTGGCCATGATTTAATGTGCATCTTTTTCATAGACCTCAATTATCAATTAACTGTAAGTGTACACCACTGGGAATATGCTCAGTCGTGTCCACCGCATTAACATCCATTAGAAGTGAATCACCTGCCTGCGCTGGAGCTCCTCGGCTGCTGAATGTTTTCCTCTGGGCTGCAAGCTGTCATAGTGAGGAGAAAAAGAGTGGTGAGATAATAATTTGTAACTGAAGTGCTCGCAAACCTTCAAATGAGCAGTATGGATCAAAGTGAACGAGACCACCGACTACTCTTATTGTTAAATCTAGCAGGAGAGTAGAACAGGGTGAAATGTAACACATTTGTGACTTGGTGATACAAATGATGCTGAAAGTCTTGTGTAGATTGTAGATTGCCAAAGTCATGTGTAATTGCAAGGAAACTGATGTTTGCCTAACGATAAAACTTTTCAGAGTTAACGATTCGTAATACCCACAAAATCCCATATTAGATATTACATCAATACAGCAATTTGTGCAATGAAAGTAACTCATAGCACACTTCAGACGTAATAATTTAAGTTTTCTAAGTGCTGTGTGTTTACGTAGGCATGCTAACAGCAGGAAATGTTAGCTACCTAGTTAGCAGCTCTGCCCCCCCCCCCCCCACACACACACACACACACACACACATACACACACAAAACAACCCAGAAGCTTAAAAGAAGGTATACAGATAATTGTTGCAGTAATATTTAAAGTGCACACTAATTAAAGGAACTGTGTCATGACATTTTTTTTTTTTTTTTTTATATTGAGGCCTTTTTTAATTTCTCGGCAGTTTTTGTCATCCTCTGATGTGCACGCCTACGGGTGCATGGCAGGGAGACCAGCTTACTCAAGCCTTTTGATTAAATGGGGCATATTTCATTATGAACAAAATTAAAGGAACTTGTGTCATGACATTTTTTTTTTTTTTTTTTTTTTTATATTGAGGCCTTTTTTAATTTCTCGGGCAGTAGATTTGTATGACCATGACAAAGTAAGGAGCAAGAGAAGGGAAGACAAGAGAGCTTTGATATTTCTTCATATACATCACAGCAGTTTTTGTACAATGTTCTTCAGCAGTTAGGGTGACCATGTCAGAAAAAAAAACACAAGGAGCAATAGTGTCCTTTCATATTGATTGAGTTCATCTTTAGATCCTCACACAAAAAAAAATTATGTCTATGTAAGCTTAACTAAACAAGCAACTAAGATATCTCCATGATATATGAATAATAAATATCTTCACTTATATTGTTAGGATTGCCATGAGATGTTACAGAGGAGTTTCCAGAGGAGCAGGATCTAAAGTTTGTTTCTTGTGGTTTACAGTTTTTAAGGGAAATGTTCCCACACAAAAAAAACTGCTGGATTGATTTCCTGGAATTTGATACTCGAATCAATAGACTAGTTTACATATTATGACGACATGAATCGCTACACTACGATAGAGGGTTATGATACAAGAGGGTCTTTTTTTTAATAAAGTCTTGCTAATGCTGTGAGAATATATATCGAAGGTCTCTGCCTTTTCCATCAGGTCGAATGAGACAGTCAAGGAGTCTTAGTTATTCCCAATCAGCACCTCTACTCTGGGAGACTTGATACGTTTAGATCCAGACCTTTTCCTGGGTACCCGTGGGAGACAGCGTGTCAAAACATCTACTTCTACTGACTGGCTACTTTGTCTAGCTCATTGTAAAACCAGAGGGCCTTTTGCCAAGCCTTTGCCCATGCCAGGATTTAGGTCTGTGTGACAGTAACAGTTGTAGTCATATCTTGGCAGGTATGCTTATGCTGAGGGTTTCTCTGAGCAGGAAGTTTGGGGGTTTGGCTGCTGTTACATTAACAAGCTCTGTCATCTCAGCTGGGCTCAGAGCTGAAATCAGATCTCACACCCCTCTCTGTCTAACACTGATGGATCATGTTGCCTCTTGACCATTGAAAACTTGCAGAACACTAAACCAACACATTAAAGCTCATAACCCAAAATATTACACCTGTGTCAAATAATGATTTTCTTTTATGCGTGTAAAATCGAGGTAAACAATTTTTGCCTTACGGGGCTGCTGTTTCCATTTCCCATTTTGGAGCTGCTCTGCAATGATTTGGCACCGAGTTGCATTCTTACTGAAAAACAAAAAAGTAAATTTCGTCACATGCATTTCCACCCAATTATTACCTGAAGTTTCATCATTCCCTCATCGACAGTGTCACAGTACACATTGTCGCCAAGTCTTTTAGCTCTTTCCAGCACATACAGTACAGCCTGGCCCTGTCCTGTCTTGCCCTTGACAGAGGAGCTTGTCACCCTCACACAGTAATTATACCAGAGCTGACGTCTCCACTTTCCATTGAATTATTGAGAGGGTGGAGAGGACACAAGATCCCATGTAGTATGAGGTTAAAAAAAAATAATCCAAAATTGACACCATTGAACAGAAACAGACAAGCTGCAGACAAACAATACTGTTGATGGCTTCATACCATGTATACCTTAAATATGACATATGAAACGTCTTATGTGTACGATTGGGAGATCTATAGGAAGACTGATTGGCAAAATTGAAATATGGCATGCATATAATACATAAATAGAAATGAATGTATTATCACCAGGAGAATTATTGTATTACATTGAACTTAAGAATCAATTTTCTATATAAACCAAGTTAGCCAAGTTGCAACTTCGCCCCAGAAGGCAATACATAAACACATGGGTCTTTTATGGTTAAAATGATTCATAAATTAATTAAGCGTATGCAATAATAAGGATTTCCACATTTAATACAACAACTTTTTGAGGCTAATAAAATACAAGTAGCAAACGAAGACTGCAAACAGAAGTTTTTATTCATGCACACAGGCATCGTTGTATGTTTGTAAGACTTCCAGGAAAGAGTTCCAGCTTATGCAGGATGTCTTTTGTACCCCTTTGGCACCATTAAAGTAAAAGTCATTTCTAATCTTTGGTGCCAGTGGAAACACTGAGGCCCTTGAAAAAAAGCTCAATAATTGCACCAGCAAACTTAATATGAGCCATTGTGGACTAAGATTCATTCCGGTCCTTTTATGATTGATTATACAAAGGTCAGTACAGCAGACTTCAGCAGGCAGACTCCCCTTAGACTTGTGTTTTCATTACACAGGAAATCCTGCCATGCTTCTCTCGAAAGTCAGCCTACGCTTGTGCAGAGTCAGAAACTCAGTGCATCTACAGCAGATATAACACCTTAATGAAATGCACAGAACATGACCTCAGCTACTCAAGACTTACCTCTTGTCTGTACATCTTGTTTCACATGTCTGAGGTTTGTTCCAATTTAAGTGAGATACAGTTTCTTTTCATTTATTTGTTTAACTTTTATTTAACCAGACATTCCCTTGAGATTTACATTTATTATAAAAGGGAGAGCTAGCAAAGACAGCACACCAATTACAGTTTATAATAAAAGTATAAATAAACACACAAATCAGCGACAAAGCACTCAAAAAAGATTTTTTCAAGAGGTCTAAAATATGTTCGAGTGCAATACACATCATCCTGAGTCCAGAGGAGCAAAGAAGGTAAATAACCTTTTCCTAACTCAGTGTGAACCCTATGAACCCTATTTGCAAGCTTGTGACCCATTCACTGACCTCATGTTATTGTAGCTGCAGCGTTTACCTCCTGATTGAAAAAATGATTCTTTCTTTGGATGCACATCAAAAAGCTCAAGGTCACAGAAACGTTACAGATTTTTCTCTCTAAGGAGCTGACTCACTCCTTAGAGAACATGAATTGACATGACATGTCACTGATGCTGATCACTGATCAACACTGTGAGAGATGCCCTGTTCAGAATTTTGCACCCTCTTCCCTTCTTTGTTTCCATGGCACCATGGAGGTCGCAGTTCAGACACAACTTTCCTTCACTCAGCCTCCTCCTTGTGAGAGTTATGATTTCATTTCATATTTGAAGTGAATGCTCTGCTTCTAAAAAAGGGACAATGAAAAGAAATTACCGTATTTTCCGCACTATAAGGCGCACTTAAAAGCCTTTAATTTTCTCAAAAAACGACAGTGCGCCTTATAATCCGGAGCGCCTTATATATGGATCAATTGGTTAATTGGTTGATCCATACTGGTTGTACACGGCGCTCAGCGACACTGACTCGGATAATGACGAGAGGGAGCCGGGCATGTTGGATGCCGTACTCGCCCAACTGTTCAATTCGGACACTGAAGAAGAAGAATTCGAGGGATTCGTGGACGGGGAATGAACTGAAAAAGTGAGCTTTACGTGTTATACGTAACTGAACAATGTTGAGTTATGCACTAAGGTTTGAATTAGCGGTATCAGACTGTGTTTCTTTTACGTGTTTACAACTGAACAAGGCTGGGAGATATTGTGAATATGCACATTAACGTTTGAACAACGTTGAGTTATTGTGAATGCACTACGTATAAAACGTAGTTTTATACGTATTTATATTCATATATTCACAATATCTCCCAGCCTTGTTCAGTTGTAAACACGTTCTATTCTATGCGCCTTATAATCCGGTGCGCCCTATATATGAAAACAGTTCTAAAATAGGCCATTCATTGAAGGTGCGCCTTATAATCCGGTGCGCCTTATAGTGCGGAAAATACGGTACTTGGAGGTTGGCTCGACAAATCAACATGCCGTGGCTGCTTAGACATTTTCAGACAGAACTTAAGAAAACTGACATTTGAAATCATACACTGTATATAAAGATGGACGACATGGCAATAACCCAGGTAATTTGGAGATCCTTCTACTGACTGGTTGCAGTATTGGTAATAAGGTCTGCTTCTTCTATGTTAAAAGATTGGACATAGGTCAAGCCATCCAGTAAAATCAAAATACAAATAAAATAACTTTTCCTCAAACATGGTTTCTGTCGTTATAGTTAGTTTGTATCATGATGATTTATGCACAAGTGTTCATTTTTCTGAGAAGTTTTGTAGCTATAAAAAGAAGTGCAATGCCATGACTAACAGCTCTGTTTAACAAATGCAGCTCCTTTTGTGGAATAATTGCTAGCAAAAGAGTCATTGAACTATTATAACCTTGAGTGTCTGGCTTAAAACGAGTGCAAGAGTCTGTTCTGCTGTGGACTATATCAAACTTTGATGTTTAATTGGTAAGTTCAATTTGTGTTTTGGTAAGCGGAATGGGTGGAATGTCAAAACTACCGCTCCTACCTATCCCTACGATCTGTCCCTGCAATGAGTCAGTGCACATCACTGGTGGTATTTTGGCTTCACTATCGTAAAACTGGAGGAGGTTATCTGTCCATCTTTATATACAGTCAGTGTTTTAACTCATGAAACCAAACCTCAATGTGCATTTGCTGTATTTTAAGCAGCAGGACTGACCTGTACTGTCTTAAACAAGCAATCATTTTAATCGTTTCATCATCCAGCTGCTTGAGCTTTTAATTACAATTTAAATGTAAATATTGTATGGTTCAAAATCTTGTTCTGCATATTCTATAGGCATCAGGCAGTGCCACACTTAGTGTTTCTTATGTAATCCCCCCAAGAGAGTTTACATAATCTATTCTGCTCCAGGACTTTATGGTTTCTGAAGGATTTCCCTTCCTAGGATGTCCCTAGGACTTTCAGTTATTTGGTTACATTGAGAATTTTTCAGTATTTCTGTGGATAAACACACCCACAATCACAGACACACAGAGCTGTCCTCCACACAGGAACCCATTACAGAGAGAAAAGGTGACATGTAGGAGAAGCACAGGATGCCTGGCGTCAGTTCAGTGCCTCCATCTCCCCCCCTGACAGAGTGGTGAGTGGCCCCTCACTCACAGCTGTCCTGGACTCAGTCAGCCAGGCACACAGCTCAAACCTGCAAAACAACACGATAGGATGCTAAAATGCACCTGGCAGTGCAATTTTCCTCCTGGAGGAGATAGAGGGACCGGGAGTTATTTAAATGCTAAACAATGCGACCTGTTGCTGTAACTGCAGACGGCTTCCTGCTGGGATTGGTCATACACGTTTTCATGTGTGAGACCATTTGAGGAATGTGGGGAAATAATTTGAGTTTACAGAGCTAATGGTGGCTGCAAAGGGTCATTTTATTGACTTGGAGCAAGTAACCAACATTACGGATGAATCTACTGTATCTGCAAAAAGAAGAAATAAAAATATATGTAAATGCAGGCTCATGCCTTTAACAAAAAAACTAGCCTTGTTTTATGGCATTGCCTAAATTCCCCACCATAAAAAACATTAAAGTCTAGAAGCCAATATAGATGGGATATTTTATGAAATCACTGAAAATAAATGCTGTATTTTATAACAAAAAGTACAAATGAAAGCTCCCATATTGTTCCAAATCCTTCAATATGGCAGAGCACAATATTGATATCCACAACAGTGCTTAGTATTAAATGTTTGTTCTGTTTTCTTAATGTAATCTTGAGTAAATATAGAAGCAGCCAGCCAACATCATCTTTAACTTGAACAGGATGAGTAACGTTGATCATTATTAGATCTGACGGGCTTCCTGCAATATAGCACAGAGCTCAATTAATGCTGTCTCTGCACAACCTCATCAAATATGGCATACAGCTTAGTGCCATATGGAGGAGAATAAAGTACATGTTGTAGAAGAGGAAGGCTTAATCAACATTCATATACATAAAAAAAAATGAAGTGGCCATTGGTTGATCCAACAGATTATGAAAATGGGGAAAGAGTACTGCATTATTCTTTTTTTATATGAAAACTTAACATATTCTGTCATATTATTAGTGTACATATAATTCAAATATGTGATTTACTGTAGTTTTATTGAAGTGTTCATTTTAAATGTGTGCTGTAGATGAAGTTGAGACAAAGCAGATGTATGTTCTTGGACACAGTCACTCTATTCTTTAATGTTAAGGTTATTTGTGGAAAAGCAGGCCATGGTGAGTTTCAGTATAAAGAGGAAGAAGAGAGCTGCAGGTTTGAGGAAGCTGTGGTTTGTGCAGGATGATAACGTTTATTTTTGGACAGTGAGCAAACCATGAGCCACCGTGTTATCTTGGAGCTGGAAAATTACCTTCCTTATGTTGCCTACGATAGATATTATTTATTTGACTGAAAAGCAGTGGTA